AAACAGACACATAGATCAACGGAACAGAATAGAGAGCCCAGAAATAGACCCTCAACTCTATGGTCAACTAATCTTTGACAAAGCAGGAAAGAATGTCCAGTGGAAAAAAGACAGCCTCTTCAATAAATGGTGTTGGGAAAATTGGACAGCCACATGCAGAAAAATGAAATTGGACCATTTCCTTACACCACACACAAAAATAGACTCAAAATGGATGAAAGACCTCAATGTGAGAAAGGAATCCATCAAAATCCTTGAGAAGAACACAGGCAGCAACCTCTTCGACCTCAGCCGCAGCAACGTTTTCCTAGGAACATTGCCAAAGGCAAGGGAAGCAAGGGCAAAAATGAACTATTGGGATTTCATCAAGATCAAAAGCTTTTGCAAAGCAAAGGAAACAGTTAACTGTTTAACAAACAACTGAGAGAATGGGAGAAGATATTTGCAAACGACATATCAGATGAAGGGCTAGTGTCCAAAATCTATAAAGAACTTAGCAAACTCAACACCCAAAGAACAAATAATCCAATCAAGAAATGGGCAGAAGACATAAACAGACATCTCTGCAAAGAAGACATCCAGATGGACAACAGACACATGAAAAAGTGCTCCATATCACTCGGCATCAGGGAAATACAAATCAAAACCACAATGAGATACCACCTCACACCAGTCAGAATGGCTAAAATTAACAAGTCAGGAAATGACAGATGCTGGCGAGGATGCGGAGAAAGGAGAACCTCCTACACTGTTGGTGGGAATGCAACCTGGTGCAACCACTCTGGAAAACTGCATGGAGGTTCCTCAAAATGTTGAAAATAGAACTACCCTATGACCCAGGAATTGCACTACTGGGTATTTACCCTAAAGATACAAACGTAGTGATCCGAAGGGGCACGTGCACCTGAATGTTTATAGCAGCAATGTCTACAATAGCCAAACTATGGAAAGAACCTAGATGTCCATCAACAGACGAATGGATAAAGAAGATGTGGTATATGTACACAATGGAATACTATGCAGCCATCAAAAGAAATGAAATCTTGCCATTTGCGACGACGTGGATGGAACTAGAGGGTATCGTGCTTAGCGAAATAAGTCAATCGGAGAAAGACAACTATCATATGATCTCCCTGATATGAGGAAGTGGAGATGTAACATGGGGGGGGGTTAAGGGGATAGGAGAAGAATAAATGAAACAAGATGGGATTGGAAGGGAGACAAACCAACTGAGAGTTGCTGGGGGTGGGGGTAGGGAGAGGGAGGTGGGGTTATGGACATTGGGGAGGGTATGTGCTGGGGTGAGTGCTGTGAAGTGTGTAAACCTGGTGATTCACAGGCCTGTACCCCTGGGGATAAAAATACATTATATGTTTATTTAAAAAAATAAATAAAGTCAAACATAAATAAATAAATAAATAAATAAATAAATAAATAAAATATTGGCTGTTCATTTGAGCTATTTGGTTGAATGACTATAAGAGTTGTATAAAATCCTTGCCAGCAAAAACTTCAGAGTAAAATTAACTCTAAATTGTTATCATGAGGGCAGAGGAGAAAAATGCTTGCTATAATACTGTGACAATTAAATATGCAGAGTTTATGCTAAAACACTTCAGCAAACATTTGGCAAGGGGACACAAGTGATTTCTAAATTCAAGAGTTGTGCTGTTGTGCTTTAGTGAAACAGATTCATTGGGGATGAGAAGCTCCACTTAACTGCGATTTTTCTCCACCCAGTGATGGGCAAGAGAGCAGTTCAGAAGCAGTTTTGACTTGTGACTACCCCTGTAGTTGCATGTTTATGTTTCTAGAACTTATAATAGTGAGATGTTTTGAACAGAATTATGAAGTAATTTGTCAGCCTCCCTGCCCCATTCGTGTTGTTCTTACTCACTCTAGCATCGATGCTGATTTGTTAGTCACAGATTACATCTTCCCCTCCTCTCACCAACACCCCCCACCTCCTGTAGAAAGGAGCCTTGATGTCTCATCGAATTTAGGCAAGTAGATTTTCAGTACTGACTTGTTTCTATTTGCCAGAGTGGGAGAAACAGATTCTTCAGAAACAGAACTTAATTGATCTCCGTTGTAAGCTCCAGAGGATGAATGGTCAGTAAATGAAAAATCTGAACTCCTTAATATTAAATATCTTTCCAAAATAACAGGGCATTAGGTCAGAGATGACTCAGACTTAGGACTCAAGAGACCTTAGCTTGCAGTGAATCTTATTTAATTTAGAAAAATCAGGGAATTTGAGGACTGGTAAGAAAGTTAAAACAAACAAAATGAAACAGAACTTGAGTATTTATCCAAATATTACTCAAGTATTTGGATAAATACTCATTATATTTAAACATGTATGCTCAAATATGTAGATCTCAGGATGATCATTTTTTTTTAAAGATTTATTTATTTGACAGAGAACACAAGTAGGCAGAGAGGCAGGCAGAGAGAGAGGAGGAAGCAGGCTCCCCGCTGAGCAGAGAGCCCAATGCAAGGCTTAATTCCAGGACCCTGGGATCAAGACATGAGCCAAAGGCAGAGGCTTTAACCCACTGAGCCACCCAGGATGATCATATTTTTGACCACCACAAAACATACTTATTTTTTAAATCTCCTGACCTTCATCATCTATTGAACAGAAGGAAGGTCCAAAGGCAAGTTATTCAACTCTCAAGAAATCAGCAGAAGAAGATGTACCAAATTATTCATTCTATCATTGATCAACTCTGTTTCCCTGAAAAGTATAACTCTGATACAGAGAAGGAACAAATCCTAAGCTTTGAAAAATGTACTTCAATTTTGGTCCTGGGAGATATTAGCAACTCTAACTTGTTTTTGGATGGCATGGATCAATTGCTATTGGAATGTGTTTCAGAGCTTTATTTCCCAGTAGGTTTGGAAGATGACACTGAATAGAAAAATCAACCAATAAAATCTCCAACTAGCCTCCAAAAATGGAATCAGAGTAACTGGATCCCTTTCTCTGAATCAGATTTCATCTCCTTTCTTTCTAGAACCCTTGTGTCTGCACTGTGTGCCTCAGCCTCCCACCCAGGCTTTCTCCACCATCAGAACTGAAATAGGTCTACTGTCCTTAATATTCTACTCTGAGAGTTGGTGAACATTAACACTCTAGTAACGTTTTAACAGCTGCCTTTAATACCTCACAGTGAATAAGGTGAGGATTTTCACCCCTAACCCAAATCACTGGTAAAATGGGCAGAGTGGTTAGAGCCTCACAATCCAGTCATTTCCTGAACCACCAGCTGCAGCAATTCTTCCAGCTTCCCATTCTCTTGGTTTTCTATATGTATTAATACAGATTTAAATGAGTTGCACTGGTGTTTTGGAGAAAAAGGCTTAACATTTCTGGGACCTATTCCTCCCTTGAGGTCTGATTCTGCGAGTTCTGATGTGAGGGAACCATGGCCAATGGTAACTTCTAGAGTGTTCTGCACTCCTGCACAGCAGAAAAGGCTTCAATGGACCTGAATGTTGGCTCGGCCACCTGCCTGCTCCATGACTTTGTCCAAGTGACCTAAACTCTAAGCCTTGGATTCCTCATCTAGGAAAGGCAGATAATATTACCTACCTCAGAGGGATCTTGTGAGAATGAGCAATAGAATACGTAGATCTTTTAGCACAGTGTCTAGCATCTAGTCGGTGCGTACGAAACAATACCATTTGTCGTGTATTATCTTTTATGCTTTGTGCAGGTATCAAGTAAGACCTAAACTCTGTAGGAATACCTTGATATAAAAAATTAAAATGCGGGCGCCTGGGTGGCTCAGTGGGTTAAGCCGCTGCCTTCGGCTCAGGTCATGATCTCAGGTTCCTGGGATCGAGTCCCGCATCGGGCTCTCTGCTCAGCAGGGAGCCTGCTTCCCTCTCTCTCTCTCTCTCTGCCTGCCTCTCTACTTGTGATCTCTCTCTGTCAAATAAATAAATAAAATCTTTAAAAAAAAAAAATTAAAATGCATTCAACTCAGTGTGAAAGGGAAATTTCTATAAAAAGGAAAAAGCGGCATTTTTAAGGATATGTATATATCATTTTTTTAAAAAATATTTTATTTATTTATTTGACAGAGAGAGATCACAAGTAGGCAGAGAGGCAGGCAGAGAGAGAGGAGGAAGCAGGCTCCCCGCTGACCAGAAAGCCCGATGCGGGGCTCGATCCCAGGACCCTGGGATCACGACCTGAGCCGAAGGCAGAGGCTTTAACCCACTGAGCCACCCAGGCACCCCTGTATATATCATTTTTAAAATTTTTCTGATAGTATAGCTGTATCAAAACACTAGCTGATGGGGTTGGGCTCCAGGTATTTCCTCTTTTTCTGCTGATCCATTTTCCCGAGTGAGCTAATTTTAACCTGCAAACCCAAATCCTGGGGCTTCTCTGGGACACCCCCTCTTTACTCGGTTGTTTTTGAGATCACTGACTCCTGTTTGTTTCTGCCTCATCCCCAATCTTGACCCTGAATTCTAATTTCATCCTTTGCTTTATGCTTGACATATTAGCTTCGCAGGAAGGGCTCAGGTCCTTCCCACTGGCAGGTGGCTTTCTAGTCTGAGCTCTGTTAAAAAATCAATGCTATTTCCACATCCTCTAGTGTTTACACCTCTTCATTACTCATGTTTCACACCATCTACAATTTCTTCAGAGTCCTGTCTTCTGACCAATCTCCAATATAATTCCCAGATTCTCTATTCATTTGCTTGTGACAATTCTCCTTCAGGTCTAGCTTGACAGTTTTTTATAAGAATCAGTGAAGAGTACTTGAGGATTTGGGTTTACCAGGACCTCGTTTTGGAATGCACAGGAATCTGAGATGGAATTTTATTCTATGTACACGCTGACTTACTGAAAAAAAGAAAAAAAAGTGGGAGGGGCAGAGGGGAGAGAATGATATTTTATGATCACTGAGTGTTCATATATTTTCATTTTGATCTTGAGGTATGAACAAGCAGCTATCACAAGGCATATAAAAATGAACCAAGTTTTTTTTTTTTTTTATTTTCAAAAAGCAGTGAAAACATTTATACAGGACATTATGAAATTCCAATGCCATCATTAGGACCCAACTCCTGCAGTTTACTGGTGCAGAATCATCACCAAAAGCTGGTCTGCAGGTAGGCAGGCAAGCAGGATCAAAGTATTCCCTTGAGTGCTAGAATTCTCTCAATAATAATACTCCTACTAATAAAGGGAACCTTCCCTTAGCTGGATAACCCGGCGTCAACAGGCAACAAAGTTCATCCCAATGTAAACATGTGGTTTTCTGACACCGGAGGAGCAAATACAGAACTTGCTGGAAGTAGAACAATTTCTCAGTTATCCCAGTATAGTGATCCTCACGCTTTGCTTCTTTGCTGCGTGATCCCTATGTATTCTTTCCCATTCGTCCTCTTCCGTATCCTGGTCAAATGTTTCAGGGTACGCTGGTAACTTGTCTTTGGGGCATTCTTCAAAGTAAGTGCGAATATATTTCCCCACAAACCACCCTTTGTACTCTTCAGGCGTTTTGCATTCCAGGCCGTTGTAGTGGACATTGTAGTGATGCTTTAACCAGTAGTAGAGGTAGTGGATATTGTAGTCACATCTCCAAGGATTATCTCGGAGCCATAAGAGTTTCAGAAAATACAAGTCTTCTAGTACTCCATAGTCAAAGTTTTGTAGACTGTTGTTGGATAAATCTAACTCTTCTAAATGTGTGAGTCCTAAAAAGGCGGCTAGAAACAGAAAATATTTATTAACGAGACGGGTAGCTGGGTCTCATCCAACTGTAGGGCGTATTATCAGGACAAATACAAAAAAGTAAGAGACTTAATTCGCCTGGTTGAAAAATGACGAAAAAGACTGCCCTCCTCTTCTTTTTCTCAGAGCGTTTACTTGAGAAAACTTGCAATTTTAAGTACTTTACACTCTCTTTGAAATGCATACATATCCTTTACAAGACTAGGGCTTCTCTCAACTTTACGAGCCAGGAATGCCTTTCCCAGGGACTGGAGAGCCATCTCTGAAATGTAAACATCAAGGGCAATAGCAGCCCTATCTTCCCCTTCCTGCGGACCTGAGGGCCCTTGCTCCTTCCCAGTTGCAAAACTACCTCTTCATATAAAGATGGAGGTTGTTTTTCTCTGGATAAAGCCAACTGGTCACCTCAATTACCAGATAAAGTGAGAGGCACCATGTATGACAAATAATGCTGTCAAGTCCTCTCACTTAAGGACTAGTTATTTACCCTGAAAACATGTATCAGTTGGGTTGTCTGCTTGGCTATATAAAAGGGGAAGATTTCTGTCTTTGCAATTTCTTAGAAGATTTCTTGTGTAGTGCATTATTACATTCTAATTGGATGCTTATTCAACAATAAAAGCCCCCCCGCCACAGCTACCTTTGTGGGGAGAATTTCTGTGTTGGGAAATTCTGGTTTTAATTATATTTTCCTAACAGCATATACATGTCTAAATGCAAAATTCTGAAGTATGTTTTTACTCACACAAAGCTTTTTCCTGGATTTAGTTGACTAGAATACATTATTTTATTTGAAAAATCAGTTTTATGTTAGCTTTCTAAAAAAATGTATTTTGGTCTCGACTGCATTTTTTTAAATACTCGCTGCAAAGATGCCACACAAAAAAGCATGAATTAGGAAAATATTTCAAATGCAAGACATTAGTGCATAAACAATGAAAAAATGTGTATGGTGATGATTTGACAGTTCCTGGGATATCTGCAAACTCAAAATGCTGTGAAAACAGCCCTTTCTCTGTTTAGAGGGAGGGAATTATATCCCGGTAGAGTCCAAAATGAAACAGTTTTTATCAACATTTTGAAAACATCTGGTTGTGTTTTGGCAAACTATGGGAGCTATCCGCTTTGAATCCATATGTATTTAATTCTGCTGGAGGGTGGGTAATTAACAAATATTAAACATATAACACAAAAATAAGACAAGAAAAACCTCTTTCTCCCCCCCCCCCCAGGAATAAAAAAGAAATCTAAACCTAGATTATCCCTATTTCAGTTGATGTAAACTAACCCTGGAACTTACTGGTCAACTTTGATTTCAAATATTTTGTTCCTATTTCAAGCATTTTCTCATTACTGTTTTAAAATACCCAGGGCATACAACAATGCCCTTATTTTGAGTTTGGAAAATGTGCTCTAATACCAATACCATGAGCCATTTTCATATCATTTGTTTTCAGACAAAACTCATAATTTCCTCTAAAAAGAATTCTTTCTATTTTGGTGCAAAAGCAATAGCTTGGATGGGAGGGTTGGGAACAGGCAGGCGGCTGGGGAGGAGCAAAAGGTTAGCCCATGCAATGACAGTTTTGAAGACACCGCATTTTTCCCCCTATTTGCTAACATTCTGTGAACCAACAATCTCAAATTTTACTTTCCTCAAAACAACTCAGCCCTTCAGACTGAAAGCATGTGAGAACATTCCTAGATTTTATTTTGTAAGTGCTGTAGTTTTTACTTAAACCCTACGTATTCAAGTACTTGGGAAAGGTGGATTTCACCTGTTTGTTAAAGGAGCTCAAACCCCAATAGGGTGTCTTCTTTCTCTCTTCTGCAACAAAGTCTGGCATTTCATGAGATTGTTATTTCACACCTTTTAAAACCAGTAAATCTCATTGCATTTAACTAAGTCTACTTTGGCACTGTTTCATCTCATTGGTCCTGAAATAAAGAAGGTCTTTAATCTTAGTATTTTTTAAAAAATAAGTAGGCTTCCTGCTCAACATGGGGTTTGAACTCTACAACACTGACATCGAGTTGCACACTGGAGCCAGCCAGGCGCCCTCAAGGTCTTTTATTTCAAAACCTCTTTAGGTCATTTTGACTTATTGAAGAGCTGAGATACTTTTTGTTCCAGGAAAATGGTTGACATTTGGTAGGTGTTCAACACATATTTGTTAATGTAGAAAATACTTTCCTGGGACTGAATTGAGCAAAGGAGAAAAAAGAATAAGACCGCTGGTAACAAGTTCACCTTGTGTGTCAGCAAGGAAAACACAAAGATACCCCCAAGTTTACGCCATCTATACAGGCCAAGATGTAAGTGTCGCATAGTGCTGTCATCATGGGAAAATTTTAAATTATCATTTCTTAATATTTTTAAAAAAGATGTTATTAACACTAAAATATGCCCTTGTAGCTCCGGAACATTCATTCTCAATTTGCACTTTCTATAATGTTAAAATCCTACTATTCTATTCATGGTATTAAGTTACCAGTAACAATTGAACTGAAGTAACAATTGAACTGAAAATATTTATGATATTAACATTGCATTATTAATAGTATTAAAACAATTCTTATAGATGGGATTTTTTAAACTGAAGTAGCACTATGAAGGCATGTATGTTACAAATCAGATCTAAATGGCAGTAATTCTCAGTTCTTTCCAAATCCATCATGTTTATATAATGTCCCATGCTTGTTTTCTCCAGAGGTTTTTTTCTTATTAGCAAATGGGAGAAGATTTGAAGGTTGGAAAAAGAGAATTAATCTGGATCTAGCATTAGATAAAATACATCTGGCTCTGGCTTGAGCACATTTCATCTTAATTTATGAGCTTGGTGCTTAGCAGATTGTTTCAAGTTTACTTTAATTTTTAAAGGTTTTAAAAATTATTTTTTTATGTATTCATTTGAGAGAAAGAGAGCAAGAGAACATGGGCAGGGACAGGGGGAGAAGCAGACTCCCCTGAGCAGAGGCCGATGCAGGGCTCCATCCCAGGACCCTGGGATCATGAGCTGAGCCGAAGGCAGACCTTTGTTTAAAGTTTTATTTTTTTAGTGATCTTTACACCCAATGTGGGGATTGAACTCATGACCCGAGGTCAAGAGTTGCAACAATCCACTGACTGAGCCAGCCAGGCACTCCTCAAGTTTATTTATTGATTTTTTAAAGACTTTATTTATTTGAGAGAGAGAGAGAGAGAGCATGAGTGGTTGGGGGGCACAGAGAGGGTCCAAGGGAGAGGGAGAAGCAGGTTCTCTACTGAGCATGGAGCTGGACCTGGGGCTCAGTCCCCAGGACCCTGGGATCATGATCTGAGGCGAAGGTTGACGCTTAACCGACTAAGCCACGTGGGTGCCTCATCCCCTCAAGTTCACTTTAAATAAGTCATTAAAGTCTTGCCTTAAACAAGTTGGGATTTAATGGATAGCAAAGAAAATGACAAATCTGAACTTCCCTTCAAAAATTACTACATGTTTAACATATTACTGACCATATATTCTTATTTTTAAAATCTATTCTACAAAAAACACTTTTACTTGGACAACTGAATAACTGTTGCTTAGTAATATATAATATTATAACCTTCATAAAGCAACATTTTGGTAAATATTTTTCAGCATGCCAAACAAGTTCTAAATTAGGCATAATGTTTAATTTAACCTTTTCATTATTTAGGTTAAAAAAATAAATTGCACTTACTACAAATGTTGTCATTAGAAAAAAGAATCAAAGAATACCCATCACCCATTTAAAAGGCTATTCTGTGGAACTTACCAGGATCTATGAATTCAATGCCATTGCTGCTGAGGTTTAATTTTTTTAGCTCATGAACATCTTCAAACTCCTTGGGTCGAAGTTGGTTGATTTTATTGTATGACAAGTCAAGTTTAACAATATCTGGAGGGATGTTGTTTGGAACTTTCTTCAGCTCTGGAAAAATTAGTAACATTCTGGTTATTGAGGTTTCCCCTCACCCCGTATTCTCTGTTGCTCTTCCACCTGTGGTTGAAGAGTGGGCTCTTAAAGGGGAATGGAATTATCTAAAGCCAAAGAACAAGACTTAGAACGTGCTAACTCCACCAAAGCCCTGTGGACCAGGTGCATCACACACAGAGGAACAGATATCACTCCTTGCCGAGTTGTTCAGAGAAATGTCCTTGAGGTGGTGGCAAGAAATTAAGAGGACAGCAGGCATCAGGTGAGGCACTGGGGTTCACTGCTGGTTCTCTGTTAGAAGCACCTGGGAAGCATTAGGGGGGAAAAAAAAAAGCTAAAAGGAAATGAAGCCAATCACACCACTCTATGAGTTTTCACTATTAATTATTGCCTATTTGTTATACTTTCATTTCATCCCTCTCCTTTGATTCCTTCCGTCAACAAAAAAAAGCTCAGGTCTCTCCACCCTAAAAAAAGAACAAAAAGTTTTTCACCTTGATGGTCCTCAAGCTGCTCTCTTATTGCTGCTTTCCTTGGGTGCTACAATTTGAGAAAGCATAGTCTTGACTTGTAGCCTCTGCTTCCTCATCACCATGTATTCCCAGAACCCTTGTGATTTAGTTTATATGCCACTACTCCTAGAGGCCTGGATTCCTCAGGAACAACAACAGTATTGTTGTAACTACTACTATAGAAAAAGCCTCATGGAAGAAGAGTCCAGGTTCTTTTTCGCAGCTGAATAGGAAAATAGGGTTCACCTAATTTGTCTCTACTATTTGTTTCTCTTTAAATCATGCCTTTAAAAATATAGTGTTTACATTATGTTTTAGTGTAATATTTGTCCTTTCTATTAATCTTTAACAAAATACTTTAAGGTTTCATTTAATTTTAAGTAGGGCAAGTGAAAACTTGAAGAGACACACACCTGTTTCCACAAAAGAAAATTAGAAGCAATAAAATATCCAAATTAACTGACACCTGAGAAACAACATGGTCCAAAGGCTTTCTGAATAAAATTTGTTGAACTTGTTACAGTAAAATACGCTTATAATAGGTGGTATCCATTTATCCATAATGCCCTTTTTTGGTACGGAATAGTTGTGGATAATTCTTTTTAAATAGTAACAAAACAAAACAAAACAAACAAACAAACAAACAAAAATAAAAAACACCACAACACCACCTCTGGTATTTAGGACCTATCCCATAATATATTTACTTTCATAAAGGCTCAGGCTTATTTTTTCCCTCTTTTAATACTCAAAATCCATGGTCCTAAATGGAATAGTATTGGTAGTTCCTTCTTTAGCATCCTCATTATTGCTAAATTTGCTCTATCTTTCTTGATGGGATCTCAGTATCTTGATATTTATGTGCAAGTATTAAGTGACAAGAACACTATGGGCTAAGTACTCTTATTATTCATTCTCATTTTACAGATGAGGAAACTGAGGCACGATTTTCCCATAGCCCTAGGATATAAATACACATGCTAGCTTCAGAATATATACTTCTATCCACTATGCTCTGCCACCTATTCCTGGTAACTTCCTGCCTCGTTTATACTGTTCCATCTGCCCTAGAATTATCAAGGTTGACAAAGGGTAAAGTTGGAATTAGGGAACAAGTGAGGTGGAGTCAGTATAACTGGGGTGGCCATGAGAACTTCCTAGCTCTATATTTAAAATGACATCTCAAAATTTTCAACTGGGCAATAAAATTAATACTACCTTTTCCTGCTTTTCCTCAATGGTAAGTCATTCCATCAGACATGTATACATTTTACTGATTGCTTTCATTTTTGTCCCTTCATGGTGGAGGCTTAGGACAATGCCTAATATATCCCAAATAAACAATGATATGTGGCAGAGAGCTTCTAAAATGGCACTCAGTATTTCATTTTGCCAGCAGACTCCATTCTACTGACTTTGACGAAATAAGCAGTCATGCTGGAGAGGCTTATGTGGCCAGAAATTAAGGGTGCCCTCTGGCAAACAGCCCAAAAGAAACTCGGACCCTCAGTCCAACAACCCTTGAGAAACTAAATTCTGCCAGTGGTAGTATGAGCTTGGAAGCTGAGTCTTTCTCAGTTGAACCTTCAGATGAAACCACAGGTATGAGTCCTGGTCAATACACTGATGGCAGCCTTGTGAAAGATCTGGAAGCAGAGGACCCAGCCAAGCCATGTCTGGTTTCTTGACCCACAGAAACTGTGAGGTAATAAATGTTACTTTATGTACTTAATGTACATGTACATAAAGTACATAATGTACGTAATGTACTTAATGTTGTTTCAAGCCACAAAGTTCTAGGGTAGTTTATCATAGTCAGCAACAGATAATACATTGTAAATAATAAAAACTAATTAAATGTTGAGTTTAATGATTTAAGGATACTAAGGACTCTTGTAATAAAAATGCCTTTAAAATAGGGAGTTCTCTTACTTTTTTCCTTTGGTAAGGCATGGTTCTGTTTGACCTAGAATTTTGTCTGCCAATATATAATATGTATATATTATATACATATTTTATTATATATATACATATTATATACATATTATTATACAATATATAATATGTGTATATATATACATATATATGTATATATAAAAGATTTTATTTGTTTGACAGAGATCCCAGGTAGTGTCTGCTAATATATTGAAAGGTGAAAGATTTTAAGACTTGAACTTATTATGATGTTCCAACAGTGAGGTAATCCTCCCTTTATGATTATCGAGACCCTAACTGGAAAGCTATATTCTCTTGGGTTCTACACGTAAACAAGGAGATGGAGATCTCAGCAATAATTAAAAACCATGGACACAACTGAAGACAGATCAAAGAAATAATTTTTTGACATTAAATGTTTGGAATAATTATTGAAAATGTCTGTGGCATCTTCTTAGAAAGCTTTCAGAAGCAGAATAGAGTTTTATTTCACAATACTCAGGATCTCACCTCTTCTTAGTACCTCCACTGCTACCATATTGGTCTAAGCCACTATCAGCTCTTGTCTGGATTATCCCCAAAGTGTCCTAAACCCATGTGATACAGTCAAAACATAGATCATGTCATTTTCCCAGATGGCTTCCATCCTCCAGATGGTAGAATCCTCCAGTTGTTCCCATCTTACTATGAATAAAAGCTCAAGTCCTCATTAAGTTCCAGTAAAGCCATTAAGGACTATAGGTCTTCCTTGCCACCACAGCAAGTATCTCGTAGGTTCTGAAAAACAGGCTGTTTAGCAGGACTTGCTTGCTGAACCCACATCTGCTAGGTTGGACATAGGGTGGATGACAGAGACCTCCCAAGCAACCACTGTATGACAAGCTGAAGTGGGTAAACCACAAATTAATGGGTAGAAAAAAATGTTTATGAGAACTCCCTGAAACCCAGCTTAAGCAATGTGACAGGCCTGTGGATGCTGGAAAGGGACTATGAATTGCAGAACCAACTTTGGCATTGTCAGCAGTTAAGAATAGGGCTAAAATAGGATCCACAAGTAAAACCAGGAAATGCAACCCGAAGCCTTTACTGGTATGGCTTAGAAAAATATGGAAAAATCTTACTTGTTGTACTGATGGATAAAAACAGTTTTTTAGTTCTTTTATCTTAAACTTGAATGAGAATTACAAATATTGATGCTAAGTGTGTGTGTCTTTATAAATACAGTGGCGCTGGGGTGGCTCAGTCCTTAAGTGTCTGCCTTTGGCTCAGGTCATGATCCTAGGGTCCTGAGATGGAGCCCCCCTTTGGGCTCCCTGCTCAGCCAGAAGCCTGCTTCTCCTTCTTCCACTCCCCCTGCTTGTGTTCCCTCTCTCGCTGTGTCACTCTCTGTCAAATAAATAAAATCTTAAAAAAAAAAAAAGATTAAATAAATACAAATTTCTCCAGGCCACAAGTCAAGTTTGGTCAATGCCCCCATTTCTAGACCAGGCACCACGTAGTTATTTGCTGCTACTTAAAATTCCTGGTGCACATTCAAAAAATACTTCATTTACTCTGTTACCACCCTTGACTAACCTTACCCCTCCCCAACCAAAACCTGCTGAGTTTGAGGAATAAATTGGAAAATGTTCTCCATGTAATTTCCCATTTAGTGTGCTATCTTAGTTTTCAGCAATGTCAGAACTGCCCTGAAGGCTCAGTAGCAGTAGGCAAGGAGCCACTAATGACTCTGATTTTACAAATAAAAACTTACTAATTATTGTTCAAACTAGTAGTGAAATTAACTTCAGAGACAGCTGAGAGCAATTTACCTGCATAATTCTCCCTGGCCCTAATCTTAGAAGTAAAATGAATCCTTAAAAATTACAAGTTATTCTGGTAAATGTGAAGCCAAAAGGCAGTTTTCAGCTCTCACTTTCATGTAGTTTTGGCAAATCCCTTTACCTCAATATGGCATAAACACGACTTTCAACTAATCTCACATTTATTCCCTTTGAAAGACTAAGTTTTGTTGGCCAAGTGCCTGTCCCCCAGTGAATAAAGCTATTATTTCTTTTTCCTGCTGTCCAACATTTAAAGCAAAATTAGTGATCTTTGAGGTCTGTGTGGTCAAACTGGCACATATTGGGGACCCTATGTACACCGTCTGACTCATCATCTGTCAGCCAGGAAAGGCGCAACTCCTATGTTGGGGAAATCTGGGTTTCCTGTGTATCTTCCTGAACGGGGTATATTATACAGAGCCTAAGAAGAAAGTAGGTACTGGGAGAAAGCACCCAGAAAGCTTTTCTACATTTTTCTTGGTTAGTAGATGTGCCTAGGATCTTGAAGGAAGAGATGACACAATGGCCTGGGGACTGCCTGTTTGACCTTAGAAGGGCAATTTAGCTTCTGTCACCTCAATGTCCTCCTTTATAAGGGTAATAGTACCATACTGCTCTTTGAGGGTTATGAGGAGTAAATTACATAATGCATGTGAACTACTATGTCTTAGGCACACGGAACATTTAGTTGACAGCTAATTAATACCACTAATTAATGCCACTGCTAGTTCTACTCTTACTAGCATGTCTTAGGCTTCTAGATCGAACATGTGGAACATAAGCAAAAGTATTACTACAGTTTGGCAGGCATTCTGCGAATTTGACATTTGTTATCTATTTTTAGAATGGGATAAGGCAAATGAGAGTAGATTAAATTCGGATTGTCATACTTGAATTCTAGTCATGATTTTTAATTCTATGTATTTTTATTTTTAAAGTTTGCTTAAATTATTGCTTTTGCAGGAGCGAAGAAAGCAGCTCAGTTATTATCATCCATCTAAAGCATATGGCCCTGTGCTAGGCAGTACCTGGGAGGAGGTTTAAGACACAACCACTGCCTTTAAACTTACGGGAATCAACAATACACCATGATGAAAAAGAAACAACCAACTGAATCAATATTTATATCAACCATAGTGAAACAATCTATATTGATATTGAAAGACAAAACTACCCTTCATTTTGTAATCTAAAAGGTCTATGCTCGGATTTATGTAGTCATTAACATCTGGAGGAACTTGACTTGACCTTTCATGGACAGTCCAGTATTGTTATATATATAAAATGTGTATTCCATGAAACTTTACATTGTTTCCAGTAAATAATATATGTATTTTAAAACAAGGGGCATTATCTGCACCCCAAATTTATAGGGCATATCTGGAAGGTCGTGTTTAGACAACAGTAAGTTGAGGAAAGAAAAAAATTTAAAAAGTATCTGTTTTTATAAGTTGACGTTTGCCAAAAGAAAATGAGAAAACAAGACAAGGGCAGAACTAGGCTCATTGTGGAGGGAAATGGCCCAAGAGCAGTCAAGCTGTAAAAATGGAAGCCATTTCCCTTCACTTAATTTTTTTTTTTCTTTTAAACTAGGCTCCACACCCAGCCTGGAGACCAACACGGGGCTTGAACTCACAACCCTGAGAGTCAATGCCTAACCAGCTGAGCCTCCCAGATGCGTCCACATTATCTATTCTGAATTTACGGTGTAATCTAGCTGTAGAAATCTTTAATTTTGTGTTGATGGCATTTTTCTCAGATAATCAATGAACCTAACTCTACGTATTTTCTCTTTATCACCTGTTGTAGCAGGTGCAAATTAACTTTAGCTTGAGGGGAGAGCTTCAGCTATATCGAGGAATTTTTCTAAACCAAGTCTAGGATTAGCAGCTTTGTATTAGGTTTTTAAATAGATAATTTAGTTTTTAATCTAAGCATCATGAAGGCACTCTGAGTAACACATGCTCTTCAGGATGAAACACTAAGGACTCACTGTAACAACATCAAGGAATTTCCACCTAATCTGGCTGCAGAGAAACAGCGTATATTGACTTCTCTGGAATTCTTTAAAGCTTCCATTGTTGAGGCAGCTTTTTGTTTGAGCGTGATCAGATTAAGGAAGACCGCAGGATTAGGCAGACCAAGGTTCAGATCTTCGCTTTGCTGCTTACTTGTCAGACCTCAACCAAATGACAGAACCCTTCCTGAGCTTCATTTCTCCCAGCTGTAAATGGGGATCCCACTAATTTCCTGGAAGCTGTGGGCAGCATGTGTGGGGGGTACCGGGAGAACAGTAGGTGTTCAGTGAATGAGCGCTTTCTCTCAAACTCAGAGGATCCTGGAATGGCATCTCCGCGGTGATGATGCTGGGCTTGTTCTCCCATGGCCTCAGCTCATGCACATTTCACAGGGTGTTGTAGCAAGCACACCTTTCCATGTCCCATGGCTTTGGGTGTGCTCTAACCAGGTGCCCTTCTGGGTCTGAGAGAGAGGCCAAGGCTTGAGCACTTCTTTGCTGATAAATGAACACGTTTTCTCCTGGTTCAGATTGCCGGCTTCTTCAGCGTCAACAAATTCCTGCCTATGGTTCCCCTGAAAGGAGCCACAGTCTCTGCGTTGCTCTTAACCCCCTCTTTTTGTTCTTAAAGAAACAAAACAAAGCAAAACCTCCTAAAATAAGTGGAAAGAATGATACCATGTTCTGATAGGACCCTAACCCAATGACATCTAGCTTTAGTTGAATATTATGAATAAGTCATTAATTCATGCCAGAAATGAAACAGACACTGTCCCATGGCACGTTATCCTAGGGTGGATTAGCAGTTCCCAGACCACACTTTGAGAACGTCTTCACTAGCCTGTCAGGAGCATTACTAAAATTTCCCATTTTCTTATTTTGTGAATTAATTCTGCACATGCAGACCCTCCTTAGTATCAGACCAAGACTGTGTGGGCGGTAAAACTCAGCAATGATTTTTCAGGAAGTAGTAAATATTCTGGGAAGATTTCCTTAGCCTCATAATTCTTGGAGTAACTGCTTCCAACTTAGCTCTTTCAATATTTTTAGGTTTTAATTAGGGAGCAATAAAGATACAGGATGTTAGCAAGCGTTTATTAAAACCTCAAGACCAGAGTCTTGGAAGTACCATATGTGTTCACTTCCCCTCCCTCCACAGTGCTCCCACCTGTCCTCTTTCACATGTGATTTCCCTTGAGGTACTTTCCCCACAGAGGCACGCCATGTTTTCGATTTAAGTCACATTAGATAGGCAGCATTTGGATGTGTTTTTATACCCACTTATTTACCTAAATTATATTATGTGGTGATTTAAGAGAAAGGGGGTTCTTGACAGCCACAGCTTCTGATTAGCAAGAGTAGGACCCAACTGGCTACCCTTCCTGAGCATAGCTCCTATCCCCCTCTGCTGTCCCCCAGACCACCAACCACGTTGAGTCTGAACCTTCAAAAAGCTTGGAGTAGATTCCATTGTCACTGGGGAAAGCCCTCTGGTGGAAGGGACACCAGGAATCGCGACACGCGGCAGAGTGGAGGGAGGGTTCTAAGATTCAAAGAGCATTTGTAATCCACCATGAAAAGGAAAAACTAAGAAACTTACAAACCTTTCCGTTTGCAGTCCAGCGTTTGGATGGGAAACACGTAATTGTAGCAAAGAGAAGAATCCACCTCAGGCTTGATGACTGGGGGTCTCCCGGACACTTGGGGTCTCGGGTCTAACCGTTCGCTTTCTTCTTCGCTGCATAACTGTTCAGGTTTTAGCTGCCTCAGTTTTTTGTTTTTCAGTTCTTGGGGGCTTTCGCACTTGGCGTAGTTCCCCAGATTCCGGTTTCTTGGAATCTGCACCATGGAAATAAGCGTTTCCATCTCGCAAGTACAGTGCCAGGGGTTGTCGTAAAGACGCAGGTAGCTCAGGAGAGGCGTGTAAATGAACACCTCCTCCGTCAAGACTTTGATCTGGTTGTGCTGCAGGAGGAGAGTAGTCAGTTTATTTAAACCAAAGAAAGCGTCGCCCTCAATTTTGGAGATCTCGTTCTGTTGCAGATCCAGGCTCTTCAGCCTTTTAAACTTGGAAAACATCTTGTTCTTCAATATGCGGATCTTGTTTCTCGCTAACAGCATGTGCAGCAAATCCTGAGGCCAGTCGGGCAGCACGTAAACTAGTTTTCTCTCTTGACAGTCTAAGTATTTCTCGTGGAGATACGTGTAGACTTCGCAGGGGAGGCCCGGTGCGTAGCGTTTGACTGGGCTGGAGCCTCTCCGGCTGCCCCCGGCCCGGCCATGATTGGCTCGGCCTCTGGGGCTTGCCTTGCGCAGTTCCGCGGCTTTACAGAAGAAGAGCAGGACGACCACGGTAACCACGCGCATCCTGACATCCAGCGGGTCCCAATTACTTGGTGTGACAGACGGAACAGTGAAAGTATTCCTTTGAGATCCAAGCTTGGGCAGTCTTAACTAATGCGGTTCAGAACGATGAGACCCAGCTGAGGTATGGTGGGAGGCCCTAAGCTGCAAGAGAAAAAAATACATGAAGAACCATTGCGAGCGTTGTGTCATTAACAGCAGCTTCAAAACAAAACAAAACAAAACAACAGTTATTTTCTTTATATATATTTTATTGTAGTATAATTGATGTATAACATTATGTTTCAGATGTATCACATGATGATTGGATATTTGTATGTATTGTGAAATGATCGCCACAATAAGTTTTTTTTTTTTAAAGCCAAGACATTGCAATTAATAAAGACACATTCTGAACGGTGGTGTAGTGGGCCCTCCCACTTACCTGGTTTGGTGGCTAAACGTTTGGGCCCTGAGCTGGAATGAAGCCTCTCCTACTTGCTTAACTATGTGACCTCACAGTCACATAGTCACATAGTGCACCTGGGTGGCTCCGTCAGTTAAGCATCTGCCTTCAGCTTAGGTCATGATCCCAGAGTCCTGGGATCGAGTCCTGGGATCGAGTCCTGCAACAGGCTCCCTGCTCAGTGGGGAGGCTGCTTCTCCCTCTTCCTGCAGCTCCCCCTGCCTGTACACACACACACACACACACACACACACACACTCTCTCTCTCTCTCTCTCTCTCTCTCTGACAAATAAATAAAATCTTAAAAACAAAAGAACTATGTGACCTCAGGCTAGTTATTTAACCTCATCTTCAGTATCTGTAAAATGGGGCTGAGGATGTGGTGTAGTATTGTCAGGAAAATGAAATAGGCTCATGGGCAGAAGACGCTTATCAGTGCCAGGTCCTGGGGAAGTACCCCACAGTGCTAGGACTTAGCGTTAGGAAAACTGAAACATGTAATGTATCAGCACATTGGATTCAAGACAATCAAGGGATTCTTTATAGCCCTGAGACATGCAGGGGGAAAAAAAAAGTAGATCTCCAATGGTTGTCCTCCCCAGCTCATTTTTTTTTCTTTCCTGGACTATCTCCCAATTAACCAACCACAATGAATGTGAGATCCAGAAATGCCCAAAGTATACTGCCCTGTCCTTGTCAAGTCTTGCATATTTTGGCTCGAATGTCACCTCAGCAAAGCCTTCTCCGAGCACTGTATTTAAAGTGGCCCCTTTTCCACTTGCTAGCCACTCTCTCTACTCCCTTTTTTATTTTATTTTTCTCCATTGTACTTATCACCATCTGTCCAAGTAGATATTATACTTCTTTTGTTTACCATCCGTCTCTCCCACCTAGGATGTGAACTCCCCAAGGGCAGGAATTTTTGTCTTTTTTGTTTACTGCCGTATTTTTTGGCACTTGCCGAGTTTCTGACACACAGCAAGTTCTCAATAAATATTTGTTGAATGCACGAATTACCTACTCTCAAGTAACAATTCTATAAAAATATTAATTTTTAATATTATCATCAGTTTAGTTATTACATTGTTTTCGGAATCTATTTTCTGCCTTAACAGGTATCACTAGTCACTTCTAAGATCTGCACACTGTAAAGCACTGCTGTCATTTTTAAATTCTAAGAGTGATTTTGGTTTGCATTTATTACTTAGGACACAGTCCATTCTCGGAAGAGGAAGAGATGTTCAAAATCGGTTTATAATGAATACATTGCTGTTGTTATTATTGTGGGGCTAAGTGGTTATGAGCAACAGATGTGTTTTCTATCCGTTGTAGCATTGTGAATGCAAGATCACCCCTTGCCAGGAGTCTTCCTGCCTGACGGGGTCCACCTAGAATGACTTCTCCCTCTTTGCCTCATGCATTCCTCCCCTTTACTCTTGTTTCCTCCCCCTTAGATCCTTCTTTTCTATCTCAGATTTGGAGTTTTACTTCCTGTCGGTCTAGACCTGGAGTGTGGACTGTGTAACACTCTGCTATCTAGGTCTTTCTGTACGTGTGTCAACTTCCCCGAGACCATAAACTGTGCAGTTCCCTCTGGTTCCAGACTTAATCAGGCACTTGACCTCTCTGATCCTTTGTGTCCTTCTCTGTAATTCACTGTAAATTGTATGGATCTCATTTATACAAATTATAAATATTTTGTTAATTAGCATGCGTGCTGAATTATTTATAATGTCCATGCTGATGTGTGAGGGGAATGTGTGCTGATGTCTGCAACTTACTTTAAAATGCATTAAAAATAAGATGGATCGATGGATGTATAGGTGAATATGTGATAAAGCAAATACAGTGCAAGTGTAGTGGGTATATATGCACTATACAACTCTTCAAGTCTTTAAACTTTTCTGTGTTTGAAAATTTTTACAATAAAATGATAAAAGAAAACAAAAACCAAAAAATGAACAAAAAGTCATGCCACAAAAAAGCAGGTTGGTTTTCTTCCCAGCTAAAAGCTCTAAGTATATACTGTTTTTCCCAAAGCAATATTTTCCTTTTTTCCCCCTTTCTTCTGTAATCCTCAAATGATAATAAACATGTGTATATATTTTAATTTTAAAGCCAGAAGAAATTGGTTTTCTGGGAAAAGGAACCATATACTTAGAACAAATCACTTGCCAAGGTTTTCGTTTTCTAATGACTACATCGCATTAAATGTAGGAAGGAAAATTTTAAGTTTAAACATTTGCGCTATGTTGTTTAATGATGTTTAACTTGTTTGATTTAGGCCTCTGTAGAAATCTGCAAGAGCTGAACGTCTCTGACTGTCCAACACTCACAGTGAGTATATGAAGCTTATTTTACTATTTTTTATTTAGATTCAGGCTTACTATATTGCAGTGCCAATACACAGAGATTTTTGCCAGAATACAGGCATGTGTGCTCGTTTAGGATCAAATGTGTAAAAAAGCAAACTATGTTAAACATAGTTGGCAAGAAATTTTATCCCATTTGTATAATGCTATTATTAATCCTGTAGCTATATGCCCAAGATTGGAGTCTCTGGAAAAGTGAAAACTGTTCAACAATTATACAAAATTAACTATGTTTATATTTAGAGTCATGTGTGTCTGAGACAGAAAAAAATGGGTGCCAGGAATGACAATGGGCTGATTTTAGTGGTCTTCATGGCTATCAACTGTGTGCCAATGAAGATGGAAATGAGCCTGTAACCCTGGCCAGCTACCTTCCTGGTCCCTGTCTCTACGCCTTTCTTTGACTTCCAATCTGTCTTGTCCCCTGTGAGCACATACACTTTCTAAGAGGCAGATCTGATCATTTCACTCCCATTTTCCAACATGTATAAACACACTCGCCATCTACACTATCCCATGAAGTCAAAGCTCTTTAACATTACTATACCTTGGAGACCCTGTGTGGTCTTGCCTCTGCCTCCTCCCCCAGCCTCATCTTGCTCCAATTCCTGCACACACATTAAGTTTCAGCAACCATACAGTGCTACACTTTCTTTGCTGCATGAGCCAAGCTGCTCCTTGCTGTTTTGCTTCTGCTCGGGCTGTGCTCTTTGCATGGAATGCCCTTTTGCTTTGTCCTCAGGTATTACTTTCCTCTTTGTTGGGCTTTAAACCTTACTTTAGGTACCACCTCCTTCACCTCCTTTACCAAGACATCCTTGTCTCCCAGGGCTGGGCTCGTCACTGCTCTACTGGGTCCCTAAAACAAGTAGCCCTAATCACAGCATTTCTGCCTCTTCCACTAGCCCAAGAGGGCCAAAGGGCAGGAGACGTGTCTTGTTTTCTGTGGTAGTCACAGCACACAGCACACACGTTGGCATAGTAAATAGTCTACTTCTGCTTAATGAATGAAATTGTATGGAGATCCCGAGCAGGTAACGGAGAGCATGGCATAAAACTTGAGGTTCCATCTTGGGTTGACATTTTTGTATTCTTAATGAATGTTACAAAATTGAGTATGATCAACCTACAGAAAGAAGGTATGAGAAGAGCCCTTAGGATGGAACCTTGGGGATTGCCGACTTTTAGAAGTAGGCAGAGGAGAAGAAATAGCGAAGAATCTTAAGAAAGGCCAGTAAGAGGGGACACTTGGGTGGCTCAGTGGGTTAAGCGTCTGCCTTTGGCTCAGGTCATGTTCCCGCGGTCCTGGGATGACACCTTGCATCAGGTTTCTGCTCAGTAGGGAGCCTGCTTCTCCCTCTCCTCCCCGCTTGTGCTCTCTCTCACTATCTCGGTCTCTCCCTCTCTCAAACAAATAAAATCTTAAAAACAAAACAAAACAGTAGGAGAATTCGGGTGAAAACAGAAGAGGCTGATTTTGTCATGCTCTTCATTAAGCAACGACTCCAACAGGACGTCCACACCCTCCAGGGTGTCATTCTACTTCTTTCTTTCAAACTTCTGTTTCATTCTGTGGATATTTTTAGTATGTACTACTTTAAAGATATTTTTATCTTTATATGTAAAGATATATAGGGAATGTATATGCTATAAAATATAGGTGTTAGAGGGAATTAAAAATGAATCAAGTTTCAGTTCCTGCCCTCAGGGAGCTTCAGTTCTGCCCTTGAATAACAGATCACAGTCTTTAAATTGGCTTTCTCATAGGAAAGTCAAAGCAAATGCCATCTGCATTGAATTTGTGAACGTCAAAATCTTTCCCAATTTTGGAGTCTAATACTATACAGGGTTGATAATTTTATCCAGCTACATTTTACTATTGTTTTTTCCCTTTGAAGCACAGGCTGGGAGACAGGCTTAAATTTAAGGAGTTGAGTAACATTCATTCAAAAAGCTTTATTTCTAAGAAGCTTGCCTTATGAATATATTATATTTGGAAAGATTTGGGTGCATTGTGCACAAATTCAGAAACCATTTTGTAATGGGGACACTCAAGCAGTGTTTGCTTTTATGTGCTCTCACCTTTGGGGACTGAACCTTGAGCTCTTTTAAATGTTGAGACTAGGATTTGTCTGAAGTTTCTTGGATGTCCACGCTCCTCCAGAAAGGAAAATGCAGTGAATGGTTTGTTTCCTTATCTTAAAGGAAAAAGGAGCTTCCTCTGTGGTGCATAAACATACTTCCTCTTCCTCTTCCTGGCCCCACATTTTCATCTTCTCTGCGGCTGCCTCCCTGAGGGTGTATCAGCTTCCCGTCCTCTCCTTGCCCCATCTCACTTGCATTTTGGTCGGTCATTCAATAGGTGCAGAATTACTTTGATATTTGATTGGCACCATGAATGTTTTTGAAAATAGATTTTGTTTCTATTGAACTACAATGCCATTTATTATAATTCTTTATTCCTTCTGGGAAATTTTTACCATATATATTTAATATATGTATGTGTGTATATATGCATATACACATATATATAAATAAATTTTTACCATATATATATATTTTTTAATCATTTTTTAAATTTATTTTCAACATAACAGTATTCATTGTTTTTGAACCACACCCAGTGCTCCATGCAATCTGTGCCCTCTCTAATACCCACCACCTGGTTCCCCCAACCTCCCACCCCCCCACCTTTTCAAATATTTTTTAAAATCTATCCACCTATACCTAAATCCTGCATTTTAGTGGTGGAGTATGTAGGAAAATTGCTGGCAGTTTGAATGCAGTGGTAAAAATACAGTGTTTATTGAGTCCCTGCCCTTGCACTCATGCGGCGTCGGGGCTCAGAGCATGTCCTAGAGCAGGACTGCAGGAATTTGTACTGTATTATCCACAACTCTGGGGAATAGCTAGGAATAGAACGCTAAACATTGATGATCCTGCTGAAAATAAACCTTTGCCATCCTTAATGGTGCCGGAGGTGGCCATAGTGAACATGCAGAATTCTTTCCCAAACCACATTCCCCAGGCAAGTGACAATTGACATCTTCCAGCGATGGCCTATTCTTTCCAGGACCGATGTGCCACAAATATTTAAAACTAGCTGACCTTGTCAGTGTTCCTGGGGAGACTCATCCACCATCGCTAAATAAATAAAAGCCTGCTGCTACTTACTCACACTGGAGCATTTTATAAGTAGTTACCCACATTCGAGGCAGCTCTACTGCAATCACAGCCTGCAATTCATCTGGTCTTGTAAATGTCAGTGTAGGGCTCAGGCTTGAAATGACTGTTTTCCTGTCTGTCTCATGTCACAGTCGCTCTGTTCTCTTGTGCCTCAGTGTCAGCTCTGGGGGGAGCTGCTTGAATCTTTGAGAGTCTCACCCCCAACATCCCCAACACTGAACTTCATGTTCAACATGTGTGTACCTTTTTCTTTTTTTTTTTTTTTTTTGCTTCAGAACATTTCAAGTAAATTTGGTGAGACTCTGTTTGGCTGTTTTAATATACTCACTAATAGGACCATAGAAACTTAATTATACACACACACACACAACACACACACATTTCTATAAAGATGTATGGGTAAATATGGACTCACTTTTAATGAAGTCCAATTAAGAGCATTTACTATTCCTGTCTTTCAGAATGACTTTAGCAAGTTTAAAAATAGATGAGGTTTTAATCGCTTTCATGCATCTGAAGAGTCAGGAGTAGTGACACTTCGACACTTGAGCTCAAATTTCCTGTCAGCGTTGAACTTTTAACAAAGTGTCACTGTGATGGAATGGGACTTTATTTCCAAAGAAAGGGCAGGGGAGAGAGTAGTGAAGCTTCAAACAAAACCATCACCTTCTGTTGAATTTGATTTACAACTAATAACCAAGCATATCAAGAGACCAAGGCTTGCATATACTTTTTGGGAGAGAGAAAATGGGGAAATCACAAAGCCTGCTAGACTTTGGTAAGATTCTCCCCTCTGTTTTTCCTGCAGGATGAATCAATGAGATACATCTCTGAGGGCTGTCCTGGGGTCCTGTACCTCAATCTATCTAACACCACCATCACAAACAGGACAATGCGAATCCTGCCCAGGTAATGCTCGTGTTCTCTGTATTACCCCGAGGACAGTTATGCCCCTCCCGGCTCTGGCTCACTCTAGCATTCCCCGAAGGCAGTGTTCATTTTGACAGCACCCCCCTCCCCAACCGTGGCACCATAATGGTGGTAACAGCACTGCTTCTTTCCTGTCCCCAAGCGGGTGCCTCTCCTGCCCAGGTGGGTCCAGCTTAAATAACTGGTCCTCTGCTTGGCCAGTGTTCTTGTGTCACTCTTGGAGCAGAGTGCCCAGAAGCTTGAGTTAGGCTCTGCCTGTCTCTTTCTGGTCCTCCTTCCTGGGCAACAGAGCCTGCCTCCTAAATTCTAGTCCCATGTCTGGACTTCTTGACAACGGAACACCAGTGTCTTCCCTCCTTGAGCACTGCAGGCCCACATTCCCTCTTGCCATGCTTTGGTCACCTGTTGGGACCTCCACCACCTCCAGGAAACCTGGTACTGGTTGTCTTTTCACCTGTGAACTGTTGACAACCCTGAACACAGATGCTGCTTTTCCTCAGCTAGTGCTGCTTTAGAGAAGGGACAGAAGAATACAAGACATCACCAAACATTGACAGAATATTCAAATTCTGCCTTCAGCTCATGTCATGATCCAGGGTCCTGGGTTGGAGCCTGTGTCCCTGGGTCTCCCTCTCCCTCTGCCCCTCCCTCCACTCATGCTCTCTCTCAAATAAATAAAATCTTTTTTTTTTTAAGTGCATCATGTTTATAGCTGCAACACTGCAAATACCATAAAAGATTGAGGAAATATTCTTTTAGGACTTGGAAACTATTACCTGATTCAGCAAAGAAGCCACTCATGTCACTGATAGATGAATGAAATCTGTACATACATCTTTGTTGTTTCACTTTTGTCCTACTCATGAATGTAAATGAAAATATTCGTGTTGAAACTATACACATTCCTCAATATTTTTGAACTTTTTTATTTTTTGGTGAAAACAAGAAATACATCAGAGTCATAGAATTTTATTTTTCCTTTGAAACCAAAGAAGACAAAATTACTAGCTGCCTTTATAACTTTGGCAAAAGTCCATGAAGGCATTGTGTGAGAATCTAATGATTATATCAACTTTATAATAAAGAGTATTATGTATTTTATTATCATTTATAAGTTGTGAGCTATACATATTTTATATCTCTAAGATAGTAAATGTAAAATAGTAATCTGTGCAAATTTATAGTAAACATATATACATTTATATGCATATATGTTTTTAAAGTGCCAGTTGTTAGATATTTACTAGTATGCCAATAATTAAAGATAAAATAATTTATGAACTAATGTATTTTTTTGTAATTTTTGGTCTTATCAGGCACAGAGTCTAATTTTTTTTTCAAATGTTTTATTAGATATCTCAAAATTTTGTTTTATTCATATGGGTAATCTTTGTGATAGCTCTTCAGTTGCTGCTGTAAATGCTATCTTTTCTGTTTTAATTTCTCATTATATTTTCTAAATGGTCATTTTTGGACTTGGGTACAGTACAAGTATCTTTTAATTTGTAAGATTAGATTTAATTTGTAGGCTTTAATATGAAATGACCTCTAAATAAGAATTTAGGCAAAGCTTCTAAGATTTGATATTGTTCTCATTTTCTAAAAAAACTGTTGTATATCTGATTTTCTCTTTGACCCAGTAATTATTTAGAACAGAATTTTTGGATCCAAGTAGTTGAAATTTCTTTGATTAAGCTTCTGGTTTTAATTTCTAATTTTGTACAGTGGTCAAGAAATGTGGACTGAATTATTTCTTTTCTTTTCTTTCTTTCTTTCTTTTTTTTTTTTTTTTTTTTTTT